ACCTTCAGATGAGCAGGACAATTCCTGTGATTTAATGCACTGCAAGGTGCACCCTGAGCCATATCAATGCTTTAAAAGCCTTCAAGGAATTTCATGGACTGTTTTTCAAATTACTCACTTAATATGGTTTGTTCTTGCCTATTTATTAATACAACAGGAGTTTCCATGTCTAAAAAAAAGCCACTGAGGTTTTGGCAGCGCGCTCCAGCCACCGCAGGGTGGGAAAGGAGAGTCCCAGCTGTCCAGGCTGGATGCTGTGGTATGGGGGAAGGGGGCCTGAAGGACCACAGCAGAAATTTATAAGAGTCTCTTACTGCCTCACTCTTACCTTGTCTCCATGGTGCTTGGAGTGCTTCTCTTTATGGTGCTTCTAATGGCCGTGAGGTGGTCCTGGATGGGGGTGCCCATGAGGGTGATGTCCCGATGGGGGGTGGTGCCCATGGGGAGGATGCCCATGGCCAGGAGAAGGGGGGCGTGGGGGACAGACAGCAGGGCCACCATGGTTGGGACCTGTGCCGGGACCATGGTGTCCTGGAGGACCAGGAGGGCAACCTGGATGGTGTGGTTGTGGCATGCCTAGGAAGAAGAGGAGAGCTGTTAGCAGGCAGACACAGGCTCTCCCTGGACAGACAGTGCAGGGAGCTGGTGTATCCATGCACCCAAAGGGTCCCTCCCAGTCTACCTCTTCCTCACAAATGACATCCCACACCCCTCTGGTATGCAGGGAATCCCCCCCAGGTGCCTGTGGCCATTGCCCTGAGCTCCTCTCTGAGCCCTGATGGCTGTGTGGTACCCACAGCCCTGTCTGGCCCCATGGTCGCTCACCGTGGTGGTGGTCAGACATCTTCAGTGGTCTGTGAGCTGAAAGGGAAGGACAAGCACCATCAATCACCTCCTGCCACAGGGACGTCATTGCCCGGCCCAGAGCTGGGACCTGACTCCTCTGTCCCACACATCTGCCCTGGGAGCAGAGACCGCGCTCGCTTCCCCAGGACTGCCATCCCCCTGCACACCTCGACGACAGCCCTCCTGTCCCTCTGGGGGACAGCGCCAACCCCCAGAGCCACTGTCCCCACCTCCAGGCACACCCAAAGCCCAGCTTGTGGTTTCCATCATTAATGGCAATAACAAACCCGGGTGCCCAGCTCATGTCCTCATGGACCACAAGGACTGGGGACACGTGTCTGGTCCAGCAGCACCCATGGGGACAGTGCACCCTGACCCTCGGCTGCCCCCACTCCGGCTGTCCCCGCGCTCCCCGCTGCCCTGCACTCACCAAACCTGCCCAAAAGGTCCCAGAGGAGGCGATGCTGGCAGCACTCTTGATCACCGTCCTTGGCACGGCTCTAACTGGGCTGTCGGGCACCTGTTAAATACCAGCTCCCTCCCCGGTGAGGAGGGGTGTGGCGGGCAGAGGTGACACTGCTGAGCAGTCAAACTGGCACCACCCTGCACCAGGACTGTAACCATGGGCACCCAAGAAAAGTCAACACACCACTCCCAGCCAGCACAAAGGTCCCACAGGGCTAATAAAAACAGACGATGGAGGGTGGTGGTTACAGCTCTGGACATCAGCTGATGGAGTGAGTCAGGCGACCCCACCATGAACCCCACGCCAACCCTCCAACACCAAGCGGCACAGAACACTTTCCAATCTGGTGGGATTCTCAGGATGTAGCTCAAACAGTGGGAAGCATTGCCACACACAACAGGAAACTCAAGCAAGGGCTGGTGGAGGTCAACTCTCCTACAAGGAGCTGTTTTTGCAAGCTGACAAATAGTGGGTGGAAAGCACTGGGCCTGTTTGGGAAGCACAGCTGGACAGATG